TCAGTATCAGGATGGCTTCAGAAATGTTTCTGATTATTTCTGCACCCCTCCAAATATAATTTCCTTATGTTTCATTTTGAAAAATTGGCTTTCTGGATGTCTGAACTGCAGTCACAAAATGAAGCTGCCTCTAATGAGTTCATGTAATTAGAACATGAGCACACATCTCCAGCTGGTCATTTTCTGGTTTTGCCTTTCAAAAGTACTTCTCTGTTTCTTTGTTAAATAATTCATGACAGAATGGTAATGAAGTGGAGCAAATAGCATCCGTAACACACATACCCCTTTCACAGCACCCAAACATGCAAGAAATTTAGGTTTTTGGAGGAGGAGGAGTTAGTCCAAATGCCAGCTTTGCCTTTCAAATGAAGGAAGATTGCAAAGTGATGCTTTGGTTGCATAGAACTGTTTAAAACTCCTTGCCCTTGCTCAGGGCTCCTGCCATGGAGTAATTCTCTTTCTGGTGCTTCCCATCCCACGTGTGCCTGAGTTTTAATCCAGTGGATGCACAGGGCTCTGCAGGCCGAGCACGTGTCACTTTTAGAAACATGAGAATGCAAATATTTAGGCTGGAAAATGGCTGATGAGGGGGTGTGATGTATAACACTGTTTGTGGTTCTGTGTTGTCAGATAAAGTGGACTGGTGCCACAGTGGAATGGGAAGCCACATGATCCACAGGCCCATGTCTGATCCAGGGGTGTTCTCACACCAAGCCATGGAGAGAGACAGCACGGGAATTGTAACGCCTTCTGGTACATTCCATCAGCCTGTTCCTGCAGGATACATGGACTTCCCAAAAGTTGGGGTAAGGGCCTTCTTGGACTCAATAGGTGTGGCACTGCTTGATTTCCACGTCGCCGCGCACGGCAGGTGAACAACGCTGAGACGTCGTGTGCTTGAGCTAGAACTGACTAGCCCTGAGAGCACTAACTAGAAGTAACTTGTCTGTGAGATAACAAATACATGCACAGAAAGGTTTTCTTGGAGTTCAGGCATTTCATTACTGCTTTAAGATAGAGAATTTATTGAACATGAATCTCCTTTTGTCGTTCTGTAGGTGCAGTAGTAGCATTGTTTATGAACGCACACTGATTCTTGGCTTTTTTTCCTCCCCCTAAGGGTATGCCTTTCTCTGTGTATGGGAATGCAATGATTCCTCCTGTAGCCCCCATCACAGATGGTACTGGAGGGCCTATATTTAATGGGCCTCATGCTGCTGACCCGTCTTGGAACTCGCTGATAAAGATGGTTTCAAATTCCACAGAAAACAATGGGCCTCAGACGGTAATTTTTCCATTTCTGTATTTGCTATTTTGTTTTAACTTTAACAGTGTGGTGAACATCCTAGCTGTTAGAAAGCATTCAAGTAGTGTAGTGTCTCTTCTTTTTTGCTAGTGTCTGAGCTGATGCAGCCCCCCCTACTCAATACAGCACTCAGTGCTGTGCCTGCCTACATACAACTTCTAACCATTGGTCATAGCTCCAAAAATAAGCCTGAGTTGTCCCAAGAAAAAAGTCAGCCTCTCTAAGTTAATGCAGCTCACAGGAGTGTGCTGCTGTTACTTCTGTGAATATATTTGTGCTTGAGAACTGGGAAGCTTGCTGCCAGGTGAGCTTAGAGAAGCTGCCTATTCAAGTAGACACCTGGTTAATTACTGCAGATCAGTTTTTTTTATTATGTGCTCTAGGCAAGTGTGGATAGAAAAGATAGTTTTACACAGCATGTTTTACTCAACATGATCATGATTTCTGTCTGCTGTTCTGCATTTGGGAAAACACCCATCAATTTGCTTCTGTCAGAAGAGCCCTTCATTTGCTGTCATGTAAGCTTTCCCTTCCCCAAAAAAGGCAGACAGTGTTAGGTCTAGAGGGTTGTGGCTGGGCTCTGAATGGGGTTGAAGTCTTCACTGTGTTAGGAGCTCATGTAGGAAGAGAGTAGGTAGCTCTTCTGTCTGCTGCTCTGTTCATGCCTGGGTTGTAGGCTTGTCCACTAAATATAATTTAGGTAGAGGGATTATGTTCCCCTAAGCCTTTTGTTCTTCCTCAGCCAGCAACTAATATTATAATGGATCAGCAGAGCTCTCCATGTGTTTATTTTTAATTATACAGTGAGCTCTGTTATAGTGTTACTAAACAAAGATATTTCTAGACCTAATTTTCTTGGGAATGACCCAAGGTGGAAGCAGCAGCTCCCAGCTCTGGCAGACCTTAGGTGTGCCAAGGAAGAGGTCTGTTCTTTGGCCACAGTTCATGTATTGCTCAGAAGTGGCTCATGACCATTACAAGTTGACTTCTGGCTTAGTGAGAAAACTTTGTCCCCCATAGAAGGCTTTGCTTTGTTACAGTTGGGTTTCCACAGAGCTGAGGGTGTGGGTATGCATTGGGCTGTGACAGTAATTCAAGGTGCCAGTCATGTTTTTGATTGTCTGAACTTGGTAAGGTAAAGAGGAAAGAGTCTCTTGCTGTGCAAGCTGGAGGTCTTCAGGCACTCTCCTTGCAAATCATTTGGCATATATACAGAGTCCTGTTAAATTCTGCTTGACAGCAGACCTGGCATGTATAGAGGAAGTCCTTACTTCCTGGGTCTGAAGAGACACGTTTTTCCAGTGGAACAGTAGTATGTTGATTAGATCATTGTTGCTAGGATGGAGGAACTAGCAGGCATAAATAGCGTTGATTGCTGTCTTTGATTTTGCTGTGAAGGAAAGCAATCGGGCTTGGGTGAAAGTGGGGAGTTTGCATTAGTTAGAAAGGAAGAGGAATATGGATCCTCTGGCCAGGGTGAAAAAGTACAGGAAGAAAGATTAAAACCCAATTTCCATCTTTTCTCACCTGAGTAACAGCAGGATAGAACAAGTGCTGAAAGGAGTTCAGTTTGATGATGGATTGCTGTGTTTTCTGAGGTTGGGCTTTTCCTTGGGTTAAAAAAAAAAAAAAGCCCTAAGCACTGCATTGTTATTTTAACTTCGGAACTGTTTTGAAACGTGGTGTAAAGTGAATCTTCCTCTTTCAGGTGTGGACTGGAACTTGGACACCTCACATGAACAGCGTGCATATGAACCAACTTGGCTGAGTGGGATCAACTTGCTAGCCTTGAGATTCCTTTTTTTGCAGAGGAAAACACAAATGGCAGAAACAGTTTATGTGCTCCCAGATCATTCTACTGATGTGCTTGACTGAAGTGTGTAGGCTTTTTGCAGAAGAACTTACTAACTGACCTTTTTCTGTGAACATTGTGACCGCCCATTCCCCACCATCATACGTTTCAACTTAGTTAGCCTTTATTCTTTCCTTTCCTTTTATTTTTTTTTTTTGACATAACTTTCTGTTGAAGCTGTTCTTTGGCTGGTTGGTTTTAGTACTGTAAACTGCTTCTGAGCAAACACAGAAATTTAGCAAAATTATGTAAACTTGATCCTGAAGTTTTAGAATGGCAAATAAATGTACAATTGTTTACATAACAAATGGCTAAGCAGAAAGTAAATTTCAATATGTCAGTATAGAGGCTCTACTTTATGTAGACTTAAATTAATGTGAGATATGTACCTTCATATTCAGAAATCTGGATGTTTCCTTCATACATTAAACTATTAATAAGCATAACTTTTCTACTTGTGTAATTTAAGTACACTATAAAAAAAAACACAACAAAACAACAACCAAAACAACAACTGGGCATTATCAGAGGGCTTTGTCCAAATGTGTGTTGGATTACTTTGAGAAGGTGTACATCAGTTACCACCAGATAGTAAGAGCTTCCATTTTCCTTCTGTGAAAGGCTTTTCAGCAAAAAGCATCTGAGAAAACAGCCTTTTTGGCATGTTCAGAGTCATCTCCACACTGAACTCCCCTGTTTCCCCAGTAAACTGGGTAAAATGTATCATGCTGCAGCATCTGTTAAGAAGTATTCTTAGAGTTGGGTTGATGCAGCAATGTCTGTTGTGTTCAGAGCTTCTGTTCCTCTAGTTCCTTCCCTGGCCTACAAAAGTCATGTCAGAACATAAATCTCAGTGTGTCTTAGTTGAAGAATGAGACTCAACTTGCAGCTTT